GGGGACCGCAGTGCTGGGCGGGCCGGGGGTGGTCGGCCGGGGGCCGGGGCCAGCCTGGGCCGCACCTCCTCCCCCCACACTCCCCCTTACCTGCTTCAGGCTTCCCGCGACTCAAATGTTCGCGGGAAGCAGGGGAGGGGGCGGAGACTTTGGGGAGGGGGCGGAGTTGGGGTGGGGCTGGGGGCGGGGGCGGGCCCGTGGAGTGTCCTCCTTTGGGAGGCACAAAATATGGTAACCCTAATTGTAGTGTACAGTCTCCTGAGCTGTTTGCTCTTTATCTGGTACTAGTTGGTGTCCTGGTTGTGACCCCTAGTGGACATTGCTAGTCAGTTGTCCACCAACACATCTTCATTCTGGTGGCTGGCCCCAAGAGCTTGCTGCACTGCTGCTTCTCCCCAGATGGTAGTGAAATCTAGAGTCTCAGCATGGCGCCAAGCAGCTGTTTGAGGCACAGTTGTAGAGGCTGCTGGAGTAATATTGTTGTAACACAAGTATATTGGAATCCAGGAATAAATGGTCTGATCCTGGCAGATGAGGGAGATATCTTGTCAATTTGACTCCAGAGCAGTGGGAGGGGACACAGGTAAACCCACAGGACCATCATACATGTCTGCAAAGGAGTGTGGGATAGCAGTTGGAGGACTTCCAAAGTAGTGTGAAGCAGCATTGTGTGCGCACTAACAATAGACCATGTTAACTAAGTTTGCATCTAACTTGAAAGAAGACTCCAGAGTTTGTGATAAATGTGGAGTTAGTGCACTCGAAGGAACTATGTTGCTTGTACACAGGCATTTTTAGGTCAAGCAGCCTGAGTTAAACCCCCGGTGTAGACAAGCCCTCAATGATAGTTATGGCCCTGAGTCAGCAAAGCAATTAAGTACATTCTTACATACCATTGGATGGACTTGTTCTACTGAATCAGGGCCTTATTCCTAAGCTAGCCGACTCTCAGCAACAGCTCTCATTTTATTTAGCCCAGGATATGACTATTGCCTCATAAACAGAAAGCAACCTCAAAGTATAATAATCACAAACAGAGGGAGCCAGTGTGAGAGTCATGATTTTAGAGCAAGTTTCTGCCTCCAGGTCCTGTGTTCAGACCACTAGACCTCTCTGTAAAATGTAATTAAAATGGCAGTTTGTTTATTACTAAAACATAAACAAAATGTAGTTGTACATTACATTCCAACACAGCCAGGGTCACAATGGTAACTCTTTTCTCAGGAGGGTATATGTAAATAGGTAGATCAGAAATATGCATGGGATGACAAGTGCCTCTTCACTTTTTATTTGTATAGATTTAGTTATACTACTTTCTATGTCGTTCCTCACTGCAGTTTTTGAACATTTAAACGGCTAATTTTCACTTCATGTATTTTTCATATCTATTTGTAGCTCTACGTCCCGCAAAGAGAGAATTGTAAATAAACTGAAAGAAAATTAATTTTAGTATCTCTTTTGGTCATATGGACTCTGACTAATTGCAGATTTCCCAGATTAGGGGTGTAATGAGAGTAAATTTATACTTGGAATTGCTACTGTACTATATCTTGGGTGGGGAAAAAAATGCTGTTCTATTGCCGTCTTCTCCAGATTATGGCTGAACGGAAGAATGCTAAAGCTGTGGCTTGCAGCTCTTTGCAAGAGCGGACAAATGTCACCCTGGATGTTCCCCTGCAAGGTACTGTATGCCAGAATTAACTTTATATTATGGGCCAGTTTTAGATACAGTCCCTTAATGTTGAATTTAACAAAAATCGAGCTGAAAGGAAGGCTAACGGTGTCTTTTAGATAGCGTATCTGATGATGTTACAGCAAAATACTTTTATTGGTAACGTTGACAGTAGTGCAATTCTGCTCAGTTATGGCAATGTGTTTATTTCCTCTGGTCTTTCAAAATGTGTAAATTTCACACCTCAGTAGTGGAAATGATATGCCAGAGCTGCATAAAAACAAAATCTATTCCAATTAATCAATGGGTTCAGAGGAGTTATAGCAGATCCAGACTCTTCCTGAATTTCAGCATCAATGTGAGCTTCAGAGGCTGATGAGCAAGCAAATCTTCCAGTCAACTATGTGCTGTACCCTGTAGTGTGGGGTAAAAGAAAAATGGCACTGTGTTCCTTTCTCTTAGCTTAATGGTTGATATGTTGAAAGCAGCCCAGGAGACTTACACACAGTAACTAATGCAAGGTATATGTTTTAAATCCATTTGCCTGCACTGAATATCTCAACACGCTCCTATATGTTGTTCATGGTTTTTTTTTACTTGCATCCGCTGTTCACACAGACATTGGTTTCTCCTGGCACATAGAGGGCACGTTCATAGGCATGGTTTAAAAACACAGGGGCTTGGTTCACAAAGGGACTCAATCTCTCCTGTTGAAGCTATTTCACTTTGTATGAAAAATGTAAATAGTCATTAGATCAGAGACAAAAAGTGGCTAAGACACACACCTGGGAGACCCAGGTTCCAGTGACTCTTTGAGTATTTCATACAAAGTGGAACAGCTTCAACAAGAGAAACTGAAACAGACCCACCCTAGAATACCACATAACCCAGCAGTTAGGGCATTCACCTGGGAGGTGGGAGACTTCGGGTCAAGTCCCTTCTCCTCTGTCAGAGTGGGGATTTGAACTGGGGTTTCCCACATCCTCGGTGAGTGCTCTAACCACTGGGCTATATTAGGTGGGGAGAGGGATACTGCTACTCCTGCTCTTATTTCATTGAAAAGGCACTGATCTGTCTTAGGTGCCTAACTCCAGGAGGGTTCATGGCTGTGAATCCAAAGTGGAGATAAGTGCTTTCAGCTGACCTCCAGTTAGGTGCCCAACTTCCTTTGAGTGGAGGAGCTTAGTCCTGCCCCTCTCCTCAGTATTTCCTATTGGCTAGCTCAGATGACTCTCTGCCCAGCACGCGAGCTGTTGTGAATTCTCTTCTTAGGACTTGTCTACACAGTGAGTTAGTGCATGGCAAGCTAGGGTGCGAATTTAAAGCATACCAGCTTGCTGCACAGTAGAAGGCCAGGTGGATGTTGCCACAGCACAGTGAAAGTCCCAGGGTGCAGCTTAGCATTCTGTTGCTTGAAAGCATAGTTTGGCAAGCCACACTCCAGAACATCCACTTCTGTAGCAGTGTCCAAATGGCGAGTTACTGTGCAATAAGCTGGTGCGTTGTAGATAGGGTTCCCAGGCGTCCAGTTTTTGACTGGAATGCGTGATAGAAAAGGGACCCTGGCAGCTATCGGGCTGACCGGGCCGTTAAAAGTCTGGTCAGCAGCGCAGTGGGGCTAAGGCAGGCTCCCTACCTACCCTGGCTCTGCGCAGCTCCCGGAAGCAGCCGGCATGTCCCTGCGGCCCCGAGGCGCAGGGGCGATCAGGGAAGCTCCATGCACTGTCTTCACCCCCAGCATCGGCTCCACAATTCTCGTTGGCTGGGAACCACAGTCAATGGGAGCTGCACAGGCAGTGCCTGCGGGTGCGGGCAGCGCACACCATGCAGAGCTATCTGGCCACGCCTGTGGCTAGGGGCCGGACATGCTCTTCGCCCCTCTGCGTTGTCGACCTGGAGTCGCCTGAGGTAAGTGCTGCCCGGCCGGAGCCCTCACCCCGAATCCCCTGCCCCAGCCCTGAGCCCCCTCCCACACCCAAACTCCCTTCCGGAGCCCACACTCCCTCCTGCACCCAACCCCAGCCCTGAGCCCCCTCCCATGCCCAAACTCCCTCCTGGAGCTTGCACCCCGACCCCCTCCTGCACCCCAAACCCCTGCCTCAGCCCTGAGCCCCCTCCCGGAGCCTGCACCCTGCACCCCCTCCCACATCCCAAACTACTGCACCAGACCTGAGCCCCATCCTGCACCCAAACTCCCTCCCAGAGCCCACACCCCAAACCTCCTCCCATATCTCAACCCCCTGCCCCAGCCCTGAGCCCCCTCCTGCACCCCAAGCCTCTCTGCCCCAGTCCCACCCCAGAGCCTGCAGCCCCCTCCCACAACCTGAACCCCTAATTTCTGGCCCCACCCCAGAGCCCTCACCCCCTCCTGCACTCCAACTCCCTGCCCCAGTCCAGTGAAAGTGAGTGAGTGAGAGAGAGTGAATGACTGAGGGAGAGGGGCTGGAGTGAGTGGGTGGGTGGCGGAGCCTCAGAGAAGGGGCAGGGGCGGGGCAAGGTTTTCGGCAATATTCCCTCTAATTTTTTCCATCCATATGCGGAATAAATTTTGTGATGTGCACCAAGGTATGTGCGAATGTGGGCCACCAGTAGAAACAAAAAACCTAGATATAATATATATATATTTTAAAAGTTACCAGAGGGATAATTACTCCAGCCAGGACAGATTAGGCATTTTAGAACTCACTACTCAAAGAATTAAATTTAAGAAATAAAAATTATGAAATGCATAGACCAGTCAAAACACTAAAATAACACTTTGAAAGAATAAAATTACAGAGAATAGATGTGCATTGCAGGAAGTACCAATAAGTAACAACAACAATAATACAAGTATGTGTTGGGAGGTGAGTGTGAAAGAGACTGTGTGTAAGACACAGAGATATTGTGTGTGTGTGTGTGTGTGTGTGTGTGTGTGTGTGTGTGTGTGTGTGTGTAGAACAGAGACGTGTGAGCTAGCTGCTGTGGAAATCTCAGAAACAGTGCACTGTCACTTTAAGAAAAGCACTCAATCACTCACCCCTCAGACTACAGCAGCTGGGAGTCCTCTTGAACCAGGCTGTCCCCTCTGCCCTGCTCTGCGGAGATGGGGTACAGGGGCGGGGGAGGGGACACGCTGACATCAGCATCCTCTGCCGTCCACCTCCGCTCTGCACAGCCAGCAGGAGGGTCCCGGGAGCAGCTGCCGGAAGGAGCAACGTGGGGGGAGGGGAACCTTACCACATGCTGCTAGTCTGCTAATCGGCTGGGCGGCACTTGGATCTCTCCTGCACAGCTTACAGGGAACACAGGTGTTCGGTTTTGTGCAGTTAGAAAGTTGGCAATCCTAGTTGTAGATTCATACCCTGGCTTGCTGCGCATTAACTTGCCATGTAGACAACCCCTCAGTCTCCTCACTTTCCCCATGCATTGTCTTGGTAGCCTAGGCACCTAACTCAGGGCTATGGGCTCTACTGGGTGGTAGGACACCCAAAGTTAGGTATTGCCACATTGAGCCAACGTCCCCTTTGTGGATCTAGCCCTTAGAGTGCAAATTTTACATGACTGTGCTGGATATAAGACCAGCCCTGTATATATGCTCATACCTTAGAGACATATTCATGCAAGTTTTCTAAATGGTTTGAACACAATCCTATTTTTAGTTTTACATGAATTGGAAGTTGTATCATCACCTTCTCCTTCATTCCCCTGGAAATCACTTAACATCTTGTTGTATGAGCTGTAGGGAGTGCAGATCTATTTTAATCAATACAGTATTTTCAGAGTAAAATTACTTGGTAAGCTATTTCTTCTATCAATGCAATAAAGGTATCTTTTTTACTTGTGAATGTTGATAAACAGCCGTTGATTTTTTTTGTTCCCATGCAGTAGATTTCCCAACACCAAAGACAGAGCTGGTACAGAAGTTCCACGTCCAGTACTTGGGCATGTTACCTGTAGTTAAACCAGTGGGTATGTAACACCATTGTTCTTAACTGATGCTAGAGGGGACTTACATAAAATCTAAAAGGGCTAGATTCTGGCTACACATGCACTGGTAAAGAAAAGTGCAAGGAGCAACAGCGCTCTTTACTTGTTTTCCTGATGCACAGGGGTCAGCACTGAGCCTCCAAATAGGAAGAGAATGGGGCTGTCTAGTGCTCATGGCCTCACTCAGGCTTGTGCTTCCTCAGCCAGAATGTTTTGGGAAGGCTGCTGAGACCAAGCCCTTTGCAGCGCCCTCTCCCAACATGAGCAGTGACAATTAAAAAGTCAGAAGGGAGTTGTAAGTGCATAGGACTGGAGTGAGGTGCTACCTGAACAAGCTGCTGTCCCAGTGTTTTAAGCCTCCTAGGAGAAGACTGGCAACTACTTTTGTTTTTACAAAGTGACAAAAAAAAATAAAGGATAGCAGGAGCTAGTTATTTTTTTCTTAAGCCCCTGCCATCAGAATGTTTTTAGCTAAGAAATCTAAGGCAACTTCTTTTCTGTGCTTCCAGATGAAAATAATAGTTTCTTCTAGTTTTTTTTATGTATTTATTTTATACATTTTTTTTAATCCCATTCTCCCTCCCTCTACATTTTAGGTATGGATACGCTGAACAGTGCCATAGAAAACCTTATGGCTTCCTCTAGTAAAGAGGAGTGGATGCCAGTTACCATGAATGTTGCTGATGCTACTGTGACGGTCATCAATGAAAGAGTAAGTTAGGAATAGATTAACCTAATAGTTTTGGTAGTGCAATCTCAGAAAGCTAGAAAGACCCCATCTGTAATAGAATTTTTGTTTGGACTAGAGTGTATTCTTTTGTTTCACTTGACATTTCCCTCCAGTACTGTAAACTGTGCACAATAGGACCATTTAGTAAAGATTGAGATTTTAAAAATCTTACAATTCATCTTCCGCTTTTATGTTAAAGCGCAGCATATCAAGGTTCTTACCAGTCACTTTTGTTAGGTTCAGTTTTATTTGCCCCTTCAAAACAAGCCCTTAGAAATAATTGTAAATGTTTATGAGGTATAAAAAAATAAGTATCAGCATTATCTTTTCCTGGGGTTTTTGAGACCCAAATACTGCAAGCCTAAACCCTGGGCCAAGAGTCCTGAATGCTAAGATTTGCTCTGTCCTCCTCTGCAATTTAGCAAGGACAAGGAATCTTTCAGTCTTTGTTTCGTGCTGCTGCTTTATACAAAGCATTTTCCCAGAAGTCCAGTAGAGTGACACTTTCAAGAAATAGGTCTGTTTCACTGCTGCTGTGTCCCGGGGTAAAATCCCCATTCAACATGGATAAGTAGTTGTTGTTGTTGTTGTTGTTTTATGACTTACCGCAGTCTGTCTTTTTTAAACTGAAATAACCTAGAAACTGTGGTGTGCCCAATACCAACCGCTTTGGTCTCTCTTCTTCTTGTATTTTAGAAGGGTTAATTGAGTTCAGCACATTGCTAATGCTCTACAGATAAATAATAAGAGTTCAGCACTACAGCTACAGTTTCACCAGGGATTTTAAAAATGTAAATGAAATATACCAAAAAGTTGTATTGAATACATTGTAGTAATGAGCAATCATTGCTTCGTAACCAGAATGAAGAACAAATCATGGTAGAATGTCGTGTTCGGTTCCTGTCCTTTATGGGAGTGGGCAAGGATGTCCATACATTTGCCTTCATTATGGATACAGGGAACCAGCATTTTGAATCCCATGTTTTTTGGTGTGAACCAAATGCAGGAAATGTATCAGAAGCTGTTCAGGCTGCGTGTATGGTAAGTGATCTTTTTCAAAGTGAACTGTAGTACTTAGCTCTTTCACTAACTCTATAAATAGTAATAATTCTAAATTTACAATTATATTAAATCCCTATAATATTTAAAGAACTGTAAAAACTGGTATCTTTAATGCAAAATAAATAAATAAATAAATCTTTGAGAATTTAAATAATGCTCCTATACCAACCTTACCTATTTGGGTGAAAGTGATTATGAAATGATAGATTTCATGATTTTAGGGAAAGGAAGGAGTGAGAGCAGCAGAATAAGGATAATGGACTTCAAAAAGGCAGACTATAACAAGCTCAGAACTCGTTGGTGAGGTCCCATGGGAGGAAAGTCTAAGGGAAAAAGCAGTTCAGGAGAGCAGTTTCTCAAAGACACAATATTAAAGGCACAACAATAAACTATCTCAGTGTGAAGGAAAGATAGGAAGAATAGTAAGAGGACAACACAGCTTCATCAGGAGCTCTTTAATTACCCCCAAATCAAAAAGGAATCCTCCAAAAAGTGAAAACATGAACAAATTGCTAAAGATGAATACAAAAGAACAGCACAAGCATGTAGGGACAAAGTCAGAAAGGCTAAGGCACAAAATGAGTTACACCTCGCAACGGCCATAAAAGGGCAATAAGAAGAAGTTCAATAAATTCATTAGGAGCAAGAGAATATCAAGGAATGTGTAGATCCACAACTTAATGGGGAATGAGAGCTAATGACAGATGACCAGCAGGAACGCTGTGGTGTTTAATGCCTATTTTGCCTCAGGCTTCTCTAAAAGAAAGTTGTGACTGGATGCATAATATTAACAATTAATATTAGCCAAATGGGGCTGATGTTAGACTCACTGGGGCCCTGGGCTGAAACCCCGCTGCCCCCACAGGGGGCTGGACTACTGGAGCCTCGCTGCCCACCGGTGCTGAAGCCCCTGCAACCTGAGGCTGAAGCCAACACCTTAGCAACAGAGCTTTGCAGGGCCCCCTGTGGCATGGGACCACAGGCAGTTTCCCTGCTTGGTACCCCCCTAATGCCAGCCCTGGCTTTTATATGCAGAAAAATAGTTGTGATACAGGTGGGCCATAGAATTTTTTTGGGGGGTGGGAGGGAGCTCAGAAAGAAATACGTTGAGAACTTATGATGGATTTGTCAAGAACATGTCATGCCAAACATGTTGACCAGGTTACTGGCCTAGTGAATGGGGGAAGCAGTAGATATGATACATCTTGATTTTTAGTAAGGCTTTTGACAGTCCCACATGACATTCTCATAAGCCAACCAGGGAAATGTGGTCTCAATGGAATTACTATAACATGAGTGCTTACCTGGTGGCAGACCATACTCAAAGAGTAGTTATTAATAGCTCACTGTCAAACTGGGAAAACATACCTAGTGGGGTCCCAGAGGGGCCTGTCCTGGGTCTGTTACTATTTAATATTTTCATTGATTTGGATATTGGAGTGGAGCGGTTGCAAGCACTTTGGAGGGGACAGAATTCAAATTCAAAATTGGTCTGGAATCAACAAAGTGAAATTCAATAAAGACAAATGCAAAGTACTGCACATAGGAAGGGAAAATGCAAAAATACAAAATGGGGAATAACTGGCTAGGTTGTACTACTGCTGATGAGGATCTGGGGGTTATTGGAGATCACAAATTGAATATGAGCTAACAATGTGATGCAGTTGCAAAGAAAGGCTAATATTCTGGGGTATATTAAAAGGAGAGTTATCTGTAAGACACAGGAGATAACTGTCCTGGTCTAGTTGGCACTGGTGAGGACTCAGATGGATACTGTGTCCAGTCCTGGGTACCACACTGTCAGAACAATGTGAACAAATTGGAGAGAGTTCAGAAGAAAGCAACAAAACATGGCCTGTGAGAAAAGGCTAAGAAAACTGGGCATGTCTACTCTTGAGAAATGCAGACTGAGGAGGAACCTGATAAGTCTTCAAATACATTAAAATTTGTTATAAAGAGAATTGTGATCAATCGTTCTCCATGTCCACAGAGGTGGGACAAGAAATAATGGTCTTCACCTGCAGCAAGGGAGATTTAGTTTAAATATTAGTAAAAGTTTTAACTCTAAGGATAGTTAAGCACCGAAATAGGTTATCAGGGTGGTTGTGGAATCCCCTTCAATAGAGGTTTTTAAGAACATGTGAGACTTACCCCTGTCTGGGATGGTCTTAGGTGTACTTGGTCCTGCCTCAGCACAAGGGGCTGAAGTAGGTGACTTCTTGAGGTCCCTCCCAGCCCTACATTTCTATGATTCCACCTCCTATCCCTATCCATGTCTACAATGTGATGAAGGGCCCTTTTATTCTCATTACATGATCATCTAACACTGAGCAGTTTGACATAGGCCTGTATGCAAATATGCCATTCAATAATTGGAGTAAATTCTCAAATTATACAAGTAAATTGACCCATGAGATGCTTTCATTCACTTCTAAAATCAGACCCTGACATTTCCGCAATATATTCTCCTTTAAAATAACTAAGTTTGATTCTTCTTCGAGTGATTGCTCATGTGTATTCCACCGTAGGTGTGCGTGCTCGCCACGTGCACCGGTGCCGGAAGTTTTTCCCTTAGCAGTACCCATAGTGGGGGAGCCCCGCTGCGATCCCTGGAGTGGCGCCTCTATATCACGCCATAAAGAGGGCTGCACGCTCCTCCCACCCCCAGTTCCTTCTTGCCGCCAGTGAAGGTAGTTGGAACTTGTGCTCCAGCATTGCTGCAGCGCCTTTCCTTAGTGGTACGATCTTCGACAGTAGTAGTTCTTCAGTTAGTGGCCTGGCTCGGGTCATGCCCCGAGCCCCAGGCTTCAAGTCGTGCAACTCCTGTCGCAATTCCATGCCCAGAAGCGATCCATACTCAGAGTGTCTTCACTGTCTGGGCGAGGCTCACATAAGTGAGTGCTGCAAAATCTGCAAGTCCTTCAAGCCCCAGACTAAGCGCGAACGTGAGATCCGTCTCCGGGCCCTGCTTATGGAGTCGGTATTGGCTCCCCTGCCAAGAAGCAAGGCAAGACAAGGACAGGGGTGAGGCCGGACCCGAGTTGGGCAGCCCACGATCCCCCTCAGGGCCCAGACCTCCGACTCGAGTGGAGCGGAGTAGTCCGGCCCCATCCCTGCCTGCCTCTCCAATGATGAGAGTCCCGTAGATGCCGGAGGCAGCTCAGGCAGCGCACGACATCCTCGTCCTGCCAGTACCGGGCGTGCCACCTGAGTCAGGCCCCCGGTCCCGAGGAAAGACGCCGCTGGGCGCCCAGCCCTCCCCGGCCAAGTTGGAGGTTGAGGTCCCTGCTCGATCCGCGGGGCCTTCCCAGAGCCCGTGTCAGATCTCCACTCTGTTGTCAGGGTCGCCTGACAGCGAGTCGCCGGAATCTTCCCCGGCTCGCAGGAGCCGTAAGCACCGGGACAGGAAGCGTCGACGCTCCTCCTCCAGCCGGAGTGATAGCAGGTCGCGACACCATCGGCACCACCACTCATACCACGGCGTGCGCCAGGCTCGGAGTATGTCCCGACCGTCACTGTCACCGAGGCGTCATAGCCACGGTCGTCGTAGGGAGTCTAGAGATAGCACCTCTGACTTATACGTCTCCTCGTCGTCGAGGTCAAAATCCCGGGGCAGGAGCCGACCAGGACGGCATCGGTCCAGCCGCTCTTATGTCACCGTGGGCTCCTCAGCTACCTCGGCTACCAGTCGTCCTTCCCTGGGCCACGTCGTCCCTCAGGAACATGTAACCCTGGTAGGGCCTCCGACGGCTCAATGGCAAGGGGTGCCATGGCAAGGACGGTGGTGCCAGTGGGAACTGTGGCCCCAGGCGCCCTCACCGGCGAGGCCCCGCTCTGTTGCTGGGGCATCCCAAGCGCCTTCGGCGTCCCCGCCTCGGCACCGAGAGCAGTCCTCAGGTACCGAATCACCGGCACCACATCCGGACCCAGACGTGGAGTGCAACCCACCAGTACCACCTGATGCCCTAGAGGCAGTACCTGTCGTCTCGTCGGCACCGGACGAGTCCATAGTGGCGCCGCCTCCTCCTTCTCAGGAGGACTTTAAGGCTTATCAAGAGCTTCTCCAACGAGTAGCCACCAACCTCCAGATCCAGGGTGAGGAGATGGAAGAGCTGTCGGACAATTTGTTTTATGTCCTGTCCTCCTCGGCAGTGGGCCGTGTGGCCCTGCCCCTGCATCAAGGGGTAGCAAACATTTCTAGTGGACTCTGGCAAACCCCGGCCTCTCTGCCGCCCATTTCTAAGAAGGCAGAGCGGAAGTACTTTGTCCCAACAAAGGGGCATGAGTACCTATACACTCATCCTACCTGTCAACCATCGTGAAAGACGTGGCCAGCCCACACTCACCCCCAAGGACAGGGGGCAGGGCGTTATTTGCGGACCAGACGGACACTCGTCTGTACGGGATGAAGGACTCCCGCACCACCCTGCAGACTCTCGGCCTGTATGTCCAACCAGCCAAGGACAAACCCAGACCCCAGCCCTCGGCTCCCCCTGTAAGGGGCAGGTACGAGCCCCCACCTAAGAGGCCTAGGGACCAGCAGCGTAGGTCACAGCGCCAGTCCCGTTTGGCCCCACGGCCCGGCCCCTCGAAGGGCAAGAGGCAGGGGAAGAGGCGATTTTGACTCTTTGTGGGGGGCCACCTGGCCTGTTGCCAGGGGAACCCCCCAGTTAATAAAGTTGTTTTTTGGCAACCGTTTATCGGTCTTCAGAGTGTATTGGTCCTGTATAACATCAGACCGGTGGGTCCCCAGTACCATCTCCAAGAGGTACAGGCCGCAGTTCGATTCACCCCCACCACACCATCCTCCGTCCCAGGATGTCCCTGGGGACCCAGAACACACACTTCTTTTAAATCAGGAGGTGACGCGCCTCCTCACCCTAGGCGCAGTGGAGAGGGTACCTCGGGAATTCCAGGGCAAAGGGTTTTACTCCCGGTATTTCCTGATCCCGAAAACAAAAGGCGGGCTCAGGCCCATCCTCAACCTGCGGAATCTCAAACAGTTTCTGGTTTGCTGCAAATTCCGTATGGTGTCCCTGGCCTCTATTGTTCCGTCCCTGGACCCTGGGGATTGGTTCGCAGCCCTGGACCTCCAGGATGCATACTTCCCTATCCACATTTTCAAGGGTCACAGGTGCTTCCTCCACTTCCTGGTAGGGAGAGACCACTACCAGTTTACAGTCCTTCCCTTTGGCCTTTCCACGGCCCCCAGGGTTTTTACCACATGCATGGCGGTGGTAGCAGCCCACCTCAGGAGGAAGGGGCTGCTGATCTTCCCCTACCTGGACGACTGGCTGCTCAAGGGCAAGTCTCGGTCCCAGATGCAGGCGCAGATGGAATTCCTGCTAGACACCTGCACGAGTCTAGGCCTAGTAGTAAACAAGGAAAAGTCCACGTTAGTCCTGGTTCAGCGCATACACTTCATAGGGGCGCTGATAGACTCGCTGGTGGCCCGGGACAGATTCGAGACGCTCAAGGGTCTCATCGCCTCGGTCACGGCCTTCCCTGTGACGACGACACGGGCGTGCCTTCAGATCCTAGGCCATCTGGCAGCTTGCATCTCAGTGGTACGACACGCCAGGCTCAGGATGATGCCCCTCCAACTCTGGCTGGCCTCCCAATATTCCCAGGCCAGGGACGGCCTGGACAAGGTCGTCACATTGCCACCCAGTGTAGTGGCCGACCTGCAATGGTGGTCCCTCCTGAGCAACATGCTTCAGGGTATCCCATTCCGGGAGTCCCCTCCCTCGCTAGATCTGGTGTCAGACGCCTTGGACCTAGGATGGGGAGCCCATGTGGGGAGCTTCAAAACCCAGGGCAGATGGTCGCCCCCAGAATTATCTCTGCACATAAATGTCAGAGAAATCAGGGCGGTGCACCTGGCGTGCGTAGCCTTCAGTCAGCACCTAGCGGGGAAGGTGGTCAGAGTCCTCACGGACAATCCGACCGCAATGTACTATATCAACAGGCAAGGCGGCACGCATTCCATGGCGTTGTGCCAGGAAGCCCAGCTCCTGTGGGAGTTCTGTATACCCACAACATCCTTTTGAGGGCTTTTCACCTGTCTGGCAAGCGCAATACGCTCGCGGATCACCTAAGCAGGTTTTTCTCCCAACAACATGAGTGGTCTCTACATGGGGAGGTGGCCAAGCAGCTCTTCCTAGAGTGGGGTACTCCCCAGGTAGATCAGTTCGCCAACGTCCAGAATCGCCTATGCCCACGATTCTGCTCCAGGGCGGGAGAGGGCGAAGGGGCGATATCGGACGCGTTCCTAATTCCATGGTCGGGCTGCCTGTTCTACGCCTTCCCGCCCTTTCCCTTGATAGGCAAAGTTTTACAGAAGGTAAAGGCAGACGGGGCACGGATTATCCTCATAGCCCCGGATTGGACCCGTCAACATTGGTACGGGACCCTCCTGCAGCTTTTAGTGGCCCCCCCGCACAGGCTGCCGCTTCGACTGGACCTCTTCTCCCAGGAGAGAGGACGTCTCCTCCACCCCAACCCAGCCACGCTCCACTTGACAGCGTGACTGCTCCGTGGTTGAATGAGAAGGGGAGATGTTCTGAGGGTGTTAGGTCCTGCTTGACAGCAGGAGACCGTCCACGCGACGAACCTACCTGGCCAAATGGTATCAGTTCTCCATGTGGGAGAGGGAGAGGGGATCCTCCCCCTCCTCCGCATCTATCCAATTCATCCTCTATTACCTCCTCTCCCTTAGGACCCAAGGGCTGGCGCCCTTCTTGGTCAGGGTACATCTGGCGGCCATTTCAGCTTTCTACCCCCCAGTGCAGGGCCATTCGGTGTTTTCACACCACATGACTTCCCGATTCCTAAAAGGGTTGGATCGGGCATTCCCTTACGCTAGACCCCGGTCCCGCTCTGGGACCTGAATCTAGTACTCTCCTGCCTCCCAGGGCCCCCTTCGAGTCCTTGGCCACGTGTTCTTAGTCCCATTTGTCATGGAAAGTGGTGTTCCTGGTGGCTATCACCTCAGCCCGCCGGGTCTCGGAGCTTAGGGCTCTGACCTCTGAATCCCCATATACGGGCTTCCATAGGGATAAGGTCCAGCTCCGCCCGCACCCAGCTTTTCTGCCGAAGGTAGTCTCGGCTTTTCACATGGACCAGGACATTTTCCTCCCAGTCCTCTGTCCTAAGCCCCATTCCTCCAATGAGGAATGACACCTGCATATGCTAGATGTGTGTACAGCGCTGGCTTTTTACCTAGACCGGACCAGGCCATTCTGGAAATCCCCATAGCTTTTCATTGCATCGGCCGAGCGCATGAGGGGGCGACCGGTTTCCACCCAGGGGATCTCCCACTGGATCACCTCGTGCATACGCATATGTTACGACCTGGCAGGGGTTCCCCCACCTCTTATAGTGAGGGCTCATTCGACGAGAGCTCAGGTCTCATCAGCGGCCTCCGTGTCCCTATTTAGGACATCTGTAGGGCTGCTACTTGGTCCTCTATCCACACCTTTTCATCGCACTATGCGATTGTCTCCCAAAGGCGGGATGACGCCGGGTTTGGTAGGGCGGTGCTCCACCCGGGTAACCCTTAAACTCCTACCCACCTCCATCCAGTATAGCTTGGAGTCACCTACTGTGGAATACACATGAGCAATCACTCGAAGAAGAAAGGACAGTTACCTGTTCCGTAACTGGCGTTCTTCGAGATGTGTTGCTCAGGTGTATTCCACATCCCGCCCTCTCGGAGTTGTCTGGCAAGAAGGAACTGAGGGTGGGGGGAGCGCGCAGCCCCCTTTATGGCGCAATATAGAGGCGCCACTCCAGGGATCACAGCGGGGCTCCCCCACTACGGATGCTGCTAAGGGAAAAACTTCCGGCACCGGTTCACGTGACGAGCATGCACACCTATTGTGGAATACACCTGAGCAACACATCTCGAAGAACGCCAGTTACGGAACAGGTAACTGTCCTTTCCTGTATTGAAGAATTTTAGATCAAAGATAAGGACTTTGTAGCACATTTTGAAAAACAAAAACAGCAAGAAAAAAAGAAGGCAAGAAAATTATTAATAATTATTTACGTTATCCTAGAGCCGAGAAGCTCCATTCAAAGACCAGAACCCTATTGTCCCAGGTGCACAAACACAGAACAGGCGGTCCCAGCCCCAAAGATTGTATGTGCATTTGGGATGTGTCTGAGGGGCTGAAATATTTATTCTGATCATTGGGCCAGGGCCAATGCTTCTAAAAGTTTCAGTCTGCCAGGGTGTTCCTAGGCCCGGAAAGTGTTCGGTCATCGGACTGTTAAAATAATTTAATTCTTACTTTATTTTGGTTTTCCCCTCCATTTCACTTCCAATGTGAGTCTAGCAGCCAATGCGGCATAAACTGCTGAAGTTAGAGATTGTTTTATTCCATTTTGAAGATGCACTTTGGGGTTTTGGAGGCAATACAGCTAAAGCTCCAGCAGTTCCCAAGGGCTTGGCTGTTGCAGATGTGTCCAAGTTAGCGTCTGGGGGGAAATAAATAATAAGACTGAGGGGGAGTTTCAGCTTTTCACACATATCAGTGTAATTCAGCATTTGTTTCTAGTCTGTTCTTGAAATAGCTTTTAAAATAGTCACTGATCCCTTAGTTTAGCAGTGGGTTTTTTTACACCAGTCCTGGAATGAATCTAGCAAGTTCAGTGGCAGAGTTTGCCTGTAATGTATAAAAAGTACTGAATTTAAGATTCTGATGTGAAGCTATTGAAGTGCACTAATGATTTTGGAACACATTTGCTTTGTTGCAGTTACGGTATCAGAAGTGCTTGGTAGCCAGACCTCCTTCACAGAAAGTTCGACCGCCCCCTCCTCCTGCAGACTCGATGACCAGAAGAGTCACAACTAATGTCAAACGCGGAGTCTTGTCCCTTATTGACACTTTAAAACAGAAACGCCCTGTTTCTGAGATGCCATAGCTGCCCAAAGGAAAGGATTCTTGTAACACTTAATTGAAGAAACAGTAGCTACGCTAAAGAAAATGAACTGATGATGTTCGACCTTCCATTTTAAATTGCTGATGCTTTGTCTTCAAAGAATTTATCCTTATCAAAACAATGTTAGACAAGCATGTTCTCTCGTTCTTGCCATCATCATGTGATATGAAAAGACGCATGAATAATTTTTTTGCTGTCAATGAGTTACATCATGAGCAGTAGAAGGTCTATTTCTGATTGTAAATATTCTGAACATTACCTAAATTTACACCCAAAAAGAAATATGGCCATGTCCCTCCTAGTGAACTAATGTTAAAGTCCTTGGAGTGATTGATGCCTGAATTATAGTTTCACCATCTTCTTGAGCTGGATTTGTCACAAGCAACCCTTAAATCCTACAGCACTTTGCCCTGTTTTCAACACTGGAGTAGGTACCAAGTATTAGTTACCATTAAATTACTGTAGTATAAATACCAAGTTTTATTTTTACAAAGCTGCACCTGTTAGTTTTAAAATGCGCGTTGGCATTGGTTTAGGAACCACGTTATAATTTTGCCTGACATGCTTTTGAACCATGGTGACCATATTTCATTTACTGTTTATATATTATGATTTTGGAGAAGAAAAGTTTTGAGTAATTCAGAGCAGGATGCATCAGCTTTAGCCTTTTGCCCTAAAATAGACAACTGCATCGGGGGGCTGTTAAATCTATTCTCCAAAATCCAACATGGTGCAACAAAAATATGATTTATTTAACTGTGGGCTCCTACCATCTATGATTAAGAGAGGGACTTATTCAGAACTGTTATATATGGCACAAACTAGAAAGCTACACATTTTCCCTGTATTACTCCTTGTGTGTGCAAACTTTCAATTGAAGGCCCCATCACCCAGTTCTTTCATTTGGAGTTTGGTGTTGAGTTAATATTTACATGAGATGCAAAAGAACTATCACATTTTTGTTGGGCAGACCTGTTCTCATTTATACCATGATGAAGTTTCATTTTACTTTAATGCCCTTTCTGTAGCAGCTCTTAACAAAGGAATGACACAGTTCTTCTCTGATATGATGGAGCTACATGTAGGGTAACCTGATTTCAGTGCTTTTGCTCCAAAAGCTCCAGCTAGCTGTGTTAGTCCACTCTACTGTAAATTCCTTGGAAACAAACTATGCAGTATTGCCCCTTATAAGCGTACATTGTGCTAACCTTTCAATGCACTTATATGCTTATCTTTTTCTTTGTTTTTCCCCTTGCCCTCTGTCTTATTACAACTGCAGGTTGGTACATACAATAGAAATGGAACAATGCAGATGTTTTTACCAGTGTTAAAAATTTTCTGCCTCCATTTTAGACGTCTACTGGAAGGCTGAACCATCTGGGTATGTTGACACTGTAATTCTAAAGGGACATTGTCAAGGTAGATACGCGAAGAATTTGACCTAGCTTTCTCTCACTAGTGGCTTTTGTTTTAAATTAATGGTTGCGTATTTTCTTTTTTTTTAAATCGGTCGTAGTTGCTACCCATGAGCTACCCCAGTAACAAACAAATCAGGCAGTGGATGCAAGGGCCAAAGCAATGATGATCAAACACTTTCAGCTTTGAGTTTGTAAAGGAATTATGGACAGCTATAACAAAAATTAAAATGAACTTAAAATGACGGAAATGTGACCATACTGGCAAATGAAGGGCTGATGCTCTGCTGGTGTATAAAGGTGCAGCTCCATGGACACCAGCTGCACAGCCAGTGGCCTGAAATCCTCTGTTGTGCCACAGTACCTAACTGGAACCTACAATGGGGCGCTGACCTGGCTGAGGCTTCTAAGCACTACTGTAATATAAAGAATAATACAACCCACTAGCATTCACTCAGCTAAAACACTTGCCTGTGGTCCCAATTTCAGCAAGATATTTAAGCATGTGCCTAATTTTTTAAACCCAGGTTTAAAATTACCAAGTGCTTAAGTCCCAACACAGCAAGGTATTTATGTACCTCAACCCTGTTCAGAGAACCAAGGCTACAAGAAGAAACTTGCATTTGCATTCACATTCACTCCTTTGTCTCTCTGGGTTCCAGTAGTGGTAATCTCAGTGGTTTCCACTGGGAACTGTGCTAATACCATTTTTTCCCCCCACAGTGGTTATCAGCAGCCATCAGATGGTAACCCCACCTGACCTAGAGACATAAGATGCTGTATTCATTATCACTCCCCAGACTCAGCAAATACCTTGACAGTGTCCTTTTAAAGTTCCACTTTGAAACTTTCCCAGGATTCAGATTTGCAATGAGTTTTAAATAGCATAAATACATTCCATAGGAGATCCACTGCATCTGGTGATGCTGCTGCCCCATGATGGCAGACCAGGACCTCCCTTTGTAATTAAACAGTCATGTTAAAAAGCTGTTGTTTTTATTCACTACTTGGTGTGGTTCGGTTTCCTGTTGTCAGGACCAGGAGTACTTAGCTTGCTTTCAGCAGCAAAGCACATAAAGAGAGTCAGGGATGCAGTTGCAGTAGGTATTGAAAAGACAATGGATAGGAATGTATTGAAAAGTCACAGATCATCTGTGGATATTTTGTTTTTAAAATACTTTTGCTTATTTTACCAAAATACTGATTAAGACTTTGATTCTGCAAACACTTAGGTATGTGCTTTATAAGCACATTAGTCTCACTGGCATCAACAGAATGACTCATGCTCTTACAGGTTCTGCACATACCTAAGTGTTTGCAGGATCAAGGCCTAATTTTGTAAAACCAATTACATTAAAACACTATATTGACTTAATTTCTGCCATGGCCAAAAATTATGGCTGGTGCATGCGTGAGAGCAAATGCCATTGTTTTACCTAATGTTGTAGTGACACTTCAGTTACCTATGCATTCTTTATATCTAGTGATTCTGTAAGTAGGCATACGTTATGCCTTGTATGTCTCATGTCATTTTTGAATTAACCTGTTAAATACAGCTTAAAATATTTTTATTTTATTTATTCTATTTTTACTGAAATAGCCTGCATTATGATGTTGATGTACTATCTTTACTGGACATGATCTCACAACATATCCAGTGCTAAGTAATCTCCGTGTACTATAGGTTGCCTAAAAAGGTGGGTTTTATAATTATTTGTAGTCACATTTTTATTGGAGTATGTAGAAGAAATGGCAAAACAATGTGTAAAGCTAATTTCTCTTATTTTATAAATGCAAATGGTAAGTTAGAGGCAGATATCACAGACCTCCTCATTAATATGCTCCCTTGCAGAAGCAAGGAGATTTATAGCCACAGTCAATGTCTATAGTTTAAAGCCTTTCCTTTGAGTTGCTGCAGTTTTTAGTTTTTATTTAAACCACTTATGATTTCATTTGGGGGAGGGGGGGAAAGGTGGTTTCAGGATATAAGAACCACCTACAGATTGCATGAAAGGAAATTGATCCCACTTACATTATAATGAGTTCTTAGTGATAAACTTTGTGTAAAGAGCTACCTGTACCTCTTACAAAAAAAAAAAAGTACCTTCCTTAGATTTGCAGGCTATAAAGCTATGGAATAACTAAGACTGTTTTGTGTCATTTACTAAGATTTCTAAATCCCTTTTCTTTTAATTTTATCAAACATGTCATAAAGCAATGAAGCAGGGATATAAAACCGTTAATAAATCACATGTGAAAACAGCTATTTTTACTTTAATAGCTGATACTGGCTCAGCCTTTACAACTTTAACATTAACACTGTTACTTCTATCTGTGCAGGCTTAGTTATTTTAATATATTGCTAAAAACCTGTGCTGTACAGTCACCAAACAAAGGTTTGATTTAGCTTAGTATTTGCAAAAGAGAAAGGGAAAATGCACAGTTTATCAGTCAGAGCTCAGTGTTATATAAAGCGGCTGATTGACACTGAAAAGAACTTTTTTTTCTTTTTTGCTGTTGACCACTTTTACACATTTAAATGTAATCTGTTGTGAGAATAAATTTAGATGCATAAAATGCTTGACTCACTTGTCACTAGTCCATAAAGTTTGGAAAGTAGTTCATTTCTTGGGACAGAACCTTGGTGGGGAGGAAGGAGAAAGTTTCTCTGTATTTACTGTTTAGAAAAGATACCAATACATTGGCCAGTTCAGAAGAGAGACATTAATGTATTTTCTGAATTATTCAGTGGTAAATGTTAAGCCAGTATTAAGGAAAAGGTGGTACTATGATTTGCCCTAATGCACAGCTTGAAATATAAACTGCTTTTAAGTCCTAGAAATGATATTTTTAACGGGTGGAGGAGTAAGAGGAAGTCAGATTTGTCTGTTTTAAAGCTTACAAGTAAAAGGCTATATATATATATACATACACATAGCCTTTTACTTGTATGTTGCTGGTGCAATTCTGGGTCAATCTGGGAATACCTAAAATTTGCCACCAGCTGATGGCAAAAGTGGCTTGTGAACCAAGTTGTTCTCTAGCATCATATTTATCATTGTTGGCTCTTGGACAATCTAGTCAAAGAGACTGAACCAGCCCCTGGAAATCTAGTCTTAGATCAGATGAGACCCAGTGGTGGGACAGCAGATGGAAACTTGCACCACTGTGCTGTACCCCTTATGTGAACATAACTTCCACTCTCCGAGCTGTCTACTGGCACCTTTTAATGAGCACATGATTTTTATTTTTAAGAGAGACTGTTTATACTTAGTTTATTGTTATAACACCCACTGTGCATTAAAAAAGAGATTTTAAAACCCACCCACTCTTTTTGCCTTCCCTTTCCCAACTACAGAATCTCACACCCCTGCCACCTACTTTGAGCCATGCTTAGGAACTATATTTAAAATAAATTTTCCCTTTATGTTTTCCATTCCCTTTCCCTAAACGGCAGCTTCTCTTTTCTCATCCTTATTGTGAACTATGATTGTAAAATAGTGTCATTTTGTTCTCTTGCTTTTTTCCAGTTATACATTGCAAACACAGGACTCGAGCCAGGAGCCTTACTATCTGCCCAGAAGGAGACCAGAGAATGAATTGTGATTGTCACAATTCTTCCCTGGCAGTTGGGAAGCAGAAGTTCACCCCTTTTCATGGATCTGTTTACTCTTGACCAGTGAGGGTGGGTGTGTGGTGCCAAGCCTGCTCCTGTTTACTCTCAGTGAGGTAACGGGTGAGCAGCACAAAACTTTTGCCTATTAGAATTATTTCTTTTGTTAAACAGATTACTTTCAGCAGCAGTGGGAAAACTCACCTTTGATGACCACAGGCTCTTTTGCCCTTTGTTTCTTTCCTTACCCTATTTTTCTTTGTTTCTCTTCCTTCTATATTCCCGTTGGGAGGAATTCTCAATTTTCTTCTTTGGATTTCACTCCGACCCTCTTGCCCTTGTCTAAAATGATCATCAGTAGCTAATACTGACATTTGAAATGTTATCATTAGGCTTAGAATTAACATCTCAATTAGATGAATTCTCTAATTGTTGTCAGGGTTGGCACAAAGAATCAGGTTCCAGGTACTTAGTTTCATTTCTCCCCCCATGTCTGGGCTATTCTGGGTGGTTGGAGAGGGAAGCCCTCCTTTGCTAGGCGCTCCTGTAGATTGCAGTAGAACTACATGAGTTCCTGTCCTGCACAGCCCAGCTGGGATACAGGCAATGGAGCAGACACTTTGTTTTTTCCATGCAGTGCAGAAGTAGGCCTGTCGGGGAGCAGTTGCAGCAGGTAAAGCTTCTCAAGAGTGCTTTCAGATCATACTGAAGGTGCTACTAGGGTTGCAAGGGAAGCAGTATCCACTACCACCTCCTCAGAGCAATGCAAATACTTGTTTTAAAATGGCAGGAACCCTATTTATTTCATAGGGTACGTCTATACCCAGCCACTAGTTCGGCGGCTGGCAATCGAACTTCTGGGTTCGACTTATCGCGTCTTGTCTGGACGCGATAAGTCGAACCCGGAAGTGCTCGCCGTCGACTGCGGTACTCCAGCTCAGCGAGAGGAGTACCGTGGAGTCGACGGGGGAGCCTGCCTGCCGCGTGTGGACCGAGGTAAGTTCGAACTAAGGTACTTCGAACTTCAGCTACGTTATTCACGTAGCTGAAGTTGCGTACCTTAGTTCGATTTGGGGGTTTAGTGTAGACCAAGCCATAATCAAATATAAATTTGAACCTCAAGGGCCACACATTGGATGCCAGTGATATAATGCATGGCTTATTGCATACAAGTTTCCCTCTTTGTATTGTATGTCTTGGAGGGTTCAAAACCAGTTTTGCTTATTCCACATCTGAATCAAACCCTTGTCAAAGTAGGTGCACTTGTCTAGCTCTCCTTTAGATTCTCTGTACTGAGTATGGAATGTGGACACAATAATACTTCTTACTTTATTTTATTTGAGAACTAGGACAGTTTAGTAGAAGTACCAATACAATGGACCCAAGTGAAATAGGGGGGAAAAAGTCTTAATATTTATGAAGTACACACTTCTGGTTTAAAAGAAAGTTAATAAAACCAATCCTATTCAAAAATATGTTGCATAATACTTATTTAACCCAACTAGCAACTTCATGTCTCAAGTCAGTAAGAGCACTTCTACATACAAATATGCACTAATCATTTCAAACAGGAAGGAAGTTCTGAAGTTCCACTAAAATTTCAGAGTTAAGATGTCCTATGGTTAAGAGAACCTTATTTTATCTTGCTTAAAAAAAAAAAGTTGGTACACTGAAACTACTGAGAATGTGATAAACAATTCTAGTTTCATAAAAGTTAAATATTTTAATAGATTGACATCTCAATATATTTAGCAAGATGTAACCACATATTAAACGTAGATAGAAATGATTGACAGTTAATGTATACTGTTTAAAATGATTTATAGTTTAACTTGCAACCTGATCTTTACATATAACGAGAAATGCTGTTTATCGTTTCCCCCCTCAATCGCCGATGTTTCCAAAGAAATTGTTAAAATCATATAAATGTAAACCAAAAACTTGCTGTCATTATTCAGATGAATAATATTGGTATTAAGTGTTCCTATTTTGCTTGACATTTGTCACCTGTAGGGATGCAGAATAAGTACTTTCACGATTTCTGAATTGTTACCACTAATAGACAGCAGTTTCATGAAAAGCAGCATTTGAGCTTCCTTTTACCAGCCGCCATTAGGCTGACAATTATGATTTTTATAAACCATGGCAGCACTGTGATGTGTCAGAGATTATAATTCAGAATTCATTTTAGCATCAAAATACCTGTCTAGTTTTAAAATGAAATTTTCTATTCATTTTTTTTTAAACAAAATTTCCTCTGCTGCTTATTAAAGCACCTCTGACTGAACTGAGGCATCTGTGTGCTCCCCAGCTGTGCACAAAATTTTCCAACACAAGTACATACAATGTAAGCATGTGAATAATCCAGAGCCATTTTTAGGAAAAAATGGCTAACACTTTTGATGATTCGCTCTCATATGCCGTGGTCATAAATAATGATACTTTTCAACAAGATGGTAGCTGAAAATTGTAAGCTCAGACAACCATAATTTCATTGTTGCTATGTGAACTTTTAGACCACTGAACAAAACATGCAAAGATTACATTTAAAATTAAGTATGCGCAAATATGTACAGAAGGTTATTGAAGCATGCCTTCTTTCTATATGTCACATTCTACTGATTAGCAATTAGCTATACAACTTTTGAGCTCACCCCCTAGGGATTTGAATAAGCTACTGTAGTTATTACTTTATGTGCATTTTGACATTCCAAATTGAATAGCTGGACTGAAACAACTACATAATAGTCTCTCTTGCAAAATATCTCCCTGCTATTTCCATAATAGCCATGAAAAGGGTATTAATTATAAATGTTCCCTAAAGGTAAGTAGTGGCCTGCACAGATATACCCTGGCATTATAGAAATATAATTTCAAACTTTGAAGAAATAACTATGAACCAGTTACAAAAATCGACTTTCAAATCCATGGTCGAGGATGCTTAACCATAGTTGAAGGTAAAGTTTCTTTTGGGTTGACCAATCTTTTGGATAAAGAAGGTATAAATAAGTCACGTGCTGAGCTCTTTATTCCAATCCAGCGATAGTAGTAATGTTGAGCTGAAATTTGAGATTTGTTCCCTTGTGGATTGAAGTATGGCACCATTACTGGAGGCAGAACTATCTCCACAGGTTTCAATACAACCATTTTATCTTCTGCCCGTGGCTTTCTAATGTGTGTCCGTCTCTCAAACACCTTACTCATAGATGACAGATTGGGTGTGTTCTTCAGCATTCCTGGCAGGGATGAGTTTGAGATGGGTTTGGTAATTTTCTTCAATTGAGTGGAACTGTTTGTTTGGTTCACATTTTTTTGTGGAACACCACTAATTGCTTTAATTGGTGAAACTTCAGAATTAGTATTAATAGCTATCATTTCTCGGTTGAGGAACTCCACAATGTTTGTTTGTACTCCAGTATCTTTAGGAACATTTCTTTGCTGTGTTACTTTTGATTTTTTCTTCCTCTTCTCTTCTCTCTTTGATGATTTCCCTATATCAAGACCTTCTAGTAGACCCTTTGCTGCAGCACGAGCCAAAATGTCTTTTACAGACATTACTTCAGCTGGATCCCTCTGAAATTAAAGAAATGTTAGTGGAGCTAAACTACACCATCAAGCTATGCACTCTGTTTTAATCCCTTAGGCTACACCTGCACTTTAAAATATATGGCAATGAGTGAGTCCCTGGGTGTGATGGGGTGTATCAATCCCACACTGGCAATCCAGGAGTTAATAAATTGCTTTGGGCCCAAGGGACGACACCCCCTCACCTTTGCTGGACATGCTCTCAGTGGAGAGAGCATATAAAAGGAAGCAGCTCAGCTCAGTCTGGGCTGGCTAAGGAGGACAGCAGTCGTATGATGCTGGCTCCTACCAGGAAGTTGCCTGGACTCCAGACCACCGAGGCAGAGCACCCTGACCACATTGCAGGGACCAAAGGGGATGACAAGCTGCTACCAGTGGAGAGATACCAGAGCAAAGGGTAGGAAGTGACCCAGCAGATGCCTCAGGGATACAGAGACCTGAATCCTGCACCAAGGTAACTGGTTTCAAAGGGCTCTGTGTCAGAACCTGGTGGAGAAAGGTGGGCCTGGTTTCCCCTATGCCCCACTGCTGCCAGAGCAGTTCCTTGGGCTCTCACTGCTTACTCCTGACAGAGGAAGCACCCTCCTAGATTTCCACCACTGGGCGCTACTGGATACCCTTTGGTCCCTTGACACTGGGTCTACAGACTCAAACTTGTGCTATGGTGCTAAAAGCAACAGGGTTGCTGTGTCTCTGAAATCCACCCCCCCCCCCCCCAAACCACCAGCCCAAGCCCCTATACCAGTGGTTCTCAAACTAGGGCCGCCGCTTGATCAGGGAAAGCTCCTGACGAGCTGGGCCGCTTTGTTTACAGTCTGCATCTGCAGGTTCGGCTGATCGCAGTTCCCACTGGCCGCGGTTCGCTGCTCCAGGCCAATGGGGGCTGCAGGAAGCGGCGCGGGCCGAGGGACATGCTGGCCGCCCTTCCTGCGGCCCCTATTGGCCTGGAGCTGTGAACCGCGGCCAGTGGGAGCTGCGGACGCGGCAGGTAAACAAACCGGCCTGGCCAGCCAGGGGCTTTCCCTGAACAAGTGGCAGCCCTAGTTTGAGAACTACTGCCCTATACAGTGCTAAGCACAGCTATGATGCAAACCCAGGGCTGTAGACCAGGCTCTTGAAACTTGCTGCTGTGGATTTTAAAATGTATAGATATATCCTTCAACCCCTTCCAGCTATTGTCAAGCTCAGTGTATGGTCTAGAAAGGAAAACAATGCAAACATCTTGAAAGCAACAGCTGCATGCTATTAAAGGATGTTGACTTTACTGCAGAATCAAGGGAGTATATGGTCTAGTTTAGAGTAGGGAAATGGAATTCCAGACTCATGTGTTCTATCTGCACTTTCTACACTGACTTGCTGTGTATCAAGTCACTTAAGCACTACGTCAGGGTATGGCAACCTTTCAGAAGTGGTGTGCCGAGTCTTCCTTTATTCACTCTGATTTAAGGTTTCACGTGCCAGTAATAGACGTTAATGTTTTTAGAAGGTCTAGTTATATATTATAGACATATAGAAAGAAACTATTGTATATAAAGTAAATAAAGTTTTTAAAATGTTTAAGATGCTTCATTTAAAATTAAATTAAAATGTAGAGCCCCGCAGACCGGTGGCCAAGACCCAGGCACTGTGAGTGCCTCTGAAAATCAGCTCGCGTGCCATAGGTTACCTACCCCTGCACTACGTGCTAGATTCACAAAGGAACCTCAGCATGGTGACAGAGTATTTCCATGGTGAAGTTTTCGGATGCCAGGAAAATCACAGGGATTCACCAAAGTTTGAGTTTGGTGCCTAACCTCCCAATACAATGAAGGGGGTGAGAGGTGCCTCAGAATGGGAGTCACAAAAGCCTGCAGGCTAGGTGGCTCCTTGCCTGAGCTAACCCCATGGGAGACACCAAGCTGAGAGTAGGCCTCCTTAGCAAGAAGAGGACAAAAGCTACCACCTCCCTCATAACTTTTAGCCCAAAGGTTAGGGAACTCACTTAGGTAGATGGGGATGGGTCTCAGCTCCCAAACAAGAGAAGGGATTTGAATTGGGGTGTGCCCCCTCTCAGGTGAGTGCCTTAGGGAGCAGGCTCTAAGCCATTCTGATGGGGGACTCTCTCTCTCTCACCTGCTGCAGCTGTTCCACTGTAGACATAGAATTTAATCATTGGAGCGGGGGGGGATTGGATCTCCCACTTCCCCCGGTGAGTGCTCTAACTACCAGGCTGTTTGCTTGCTCACTTTCTGGCTCATGTTGATGCTATTCCACACTGAGTATTTCATTATTTAACCACATTTGTTCCCACCCTAGCCCCCCAGGCCATTTTGGCAGAACAATGCCTGTCTTGCTCAGTTTGTGCACTACTCTGGGGCTTAGGAATCCAGCCACAAGGCATGGTTCTGGTGGGTGCATGTGCAGAGGCAGAAACATAGGTGATGAACTTTTACTGAAAATATTTAGGTGTTGAGTGAATTTAGATAGATACAGGGAAAGCTGAGCAGAGATTTTGGCACCTAAAATGGGCAGTTAGGCACCTCTGTCCTTTTGTGAATCTAGGTCTATATCTGACTTGTGTATAAAGAGAAAAATATATTACCATTTATGAACATTGAAGGAGTTTGCAAAGCACTTTGAGATCGTTGGGTGAAGTATACAGTGTAAAAAGTATTAGTAGGAAGTTTGCCCAGTATTAAATTCTTTTTTAAGATATGAATTAAACTATCAAGATAGGTATAAAGTTAAAAACACAACAGGGCTGGGAATGAAATGGAGGACTAGAATACTTAAGCTGAAACATCTCACAGTGAACTCTATTTATTAGCGTGTATAGCAGTCTCCTTCAGAAATGGTGGGAGCCCCATCTGTGTCAATCTAAAATTTGATTAGATTACGTATTGGGCATGGGTGGGAATCCTGCCCTGACAGGAAGTTATACTAGATGATTTATCAGGTTTTTCCATTTGGAATGCTCTTGCTGTAATGGAACCCTTTGACTTATCTATCATCCCAAGAGAGAGATGGTTCTCACTGCCCACTGTGTGGTCATAAGGCATAGGGAGATGGACTGACTGATCAAATCAATCTTATATTTAACTTCCAAAATTAATCACCTTTATCATTTTTTCCCATAACCTTGAGTATTTTATCCCCCCCCCCAGAAAAGAGAAATGACAAGTTTTCCCCACTTACAAGCCACCTTAAAGGTATCAGTTGTGGTCATCATTTTTTCCAGCCCGGACGAGCACTGCATTGATGTACACAAAGCACTAGCACAAGGCCAACCATTCTTTATACAATTTAAAAGCCTGACACAGCAAACACTACATGTAGTGCTTACTATGCCAATCTTATCCCAGGACAAGTTACAGTGCGGGAGCGGGATGTAAGCTGGAAATTACTTTTAGCTTAATTACAATATAGAATGTATCTACACCATGTTCTGTTTTAGAAGAAGCTGTATTGTGGCTTTTATCAAGTTTAGTATGCATTTGTTTTGGAAGGAGAGCCTTTACCTCAAATATGTCATCTGAAACGAAGGCATATTTCTAGATACAAAAATACTCAATTAGAAAAAAAGAAGATTTTAAAATTTCAAATGAAAAAGCATTCAGTAGGATAAAAACAGACTTCTTTTGAACAGTTCATCAAAGGAAGCTCCTTCATTTTCTTGGCAAAGAAATCTAGAGTTAGAGGCAGTGAGTGTGTGTAAAGGAGTAGTAAAATATATTTTGTACTGTAGACAATATTCTACTTGAAGCATCAAAACATGTCCAGGTAAAACAAATTACAATAAATACTTTCTAAAAACTGTTTAACTATCTTGGGGATTCAATCCTCACTGGAAACTTTCTACTTTTCACTCCATGGTCAAGTAATAGGAGAAGACTCATCTGCTTCAATACTGTTGAGTCTTGGCAACATATATAGCACTGCTGTGATCCCTGCTGGGCTTGATGCATACAGGCAGAACAGGATGGTTGCTTTAAAGCCTCTCTGCTGAATACCAGTTTCAATCAGCATGTTAAACATACCATGGTAACAGAGGAGTAAGGTCATAGGGAAAGAACAACGGTAACTGCATACCAACCCAATCCTCCCTAAAATGGGACAAAGCTAAAAACTGGATCAAGTATACACTAGATTTCATTTGTCACACACACAACCACCTCTTTGATACATGAACACTAAATAGAAAACTTGTGAGCTCTCCAGCACATCCCTTCTATCTCAGCATAGTGCAATTTCAGAAGCTGGATCTTTCAGTTGCACTTGCCTCTAGAAAAACTGTTGCACTGAGTGCTTGTTTCTTCAATCTTTTGCCTAGCACGGTGCAACCAATGCTCAGAGACAAGTCCACTGTCCTGTCTGTATGATTATGGTGAAGTCGGGTAATTTATGAACATTCCCTTCTGTGTGCTCATTTTTAAATTTATATTTAAAAACAAAATAGAGAAGAGGAAATCATATATACATCTTAAACAAGTACTTTTCTCAATGCATACTTTATGACCTACCTGTCTTGCTAGAACAGCTAAAAAACAGCAATTGGAAATCTCTGAGGGTTCCATTTTGAAAAAAATATCAGAAGGGTCCTCTATTTCTGAGTTGCACCACAGAGGAGGACTAAGCCTGTAAATATTACAAACAAGACTTGTAATTTTAAAATGTAAATAAACTAAAAATTAGTTGAGTACAGCACACAAACTTTTCTTACTGACATGCATTACATTTTAGACACCCTATTAATCATAATTGTATTTTTAAATGAGTAAAACAAAAATTTACTGATATACATAAATATTTTAATGTATACTGTGTTTACCAACAACAAACCTGTACTAAAATAATATTTTGAATGTTCACTTTCACATTTTCATAATGTGAAATTAGGGCCGATTATTAAACAATCACTGTGCTTTGAGTAGATCAAGACAGTGAAGATGTTGGTCTGTATTTAATACAGACATGTTAATTCAAATGTATTACTCCAGTTTTCTGTTCCTCCAAGTGTAACAGCACACCTCCAAGCTCCAGTCCTCTATCCTTCCCCCGACTGCCTGAAGCAGGGGGTTTTATTAGGTTTCTAACAGGGCCTTAATTGATTACAGCTGCTCCAATTAACCTGTAGCAACCCTCCCTAGTCTACAGGGAACCATGCCTTAATTAACCTAGGGTTTATACCACTTCCCATTGCTCCCTGGCCCTCCTGTATCACAGTGTGTATTAAAAAAAAAAGATGATTAGAGTCGCTATTTCTCAAGAAAAACAGCTCAAGAAAATGGTCATGAATAATACATTTTAATACATTTGGGCTTTGAAAACATTTTCAATTTATGAAAACAATCACAGTATATATTTTATTTAAGCTATGCCATTATTACTTTGCTCATGCAAATCACTAGGAGTTCATAACTATGCATTAAAGTATGCAAAATATAGTTACCTATAAGGTCCACAGGATATAATATTTTCCTTCTTCCACTAAAGGAAGCAGTGTTTCCAAAGTCACTATTTTGAATTTTTCTTAGTTATAAAATAGTTTAGGTCTGTGATATCCAAGGTGAGTTTTATCTGCCCTTGCTTTCTTAGTATTAGGAAGCACCTTAAACTTGTGTAAAACACTTCTTTTCTTTTGGCTGGTGTAATAGGTTCCATAATATTTTAGGGAAAGAATTAGCAGAGCGAATTTGTTTTTTTCTGACACTTAGGTCTCCTTTTGAGGATTTGCCACAATATTGCTTTATAGCAATGAACACTGGTATGGCTGTACGTGTCCAAGGTGATTCAAAGGACTGCTGGGTTTCAAAGTCACTCTTTTTCCCCACTTCAGAGACAAGAAGTGGCAGACTTCATAGCCCTTCAAATCCCAAAGGAACAAAAACAATCTAAAGGCTTGAGGCCCATGTTGTTTTTTGGTCCAGCATGACACTGAACCCGTGGCTACTAATGTAGAATAGTTGTATAGGGGCTCCCTTTCACCAGGGACATTTTTAGAATGGGAAAATGTATCATGTTCTAACATGTCTTAATTAATATGTTGTAAAATACTCAGACAAGGATGGCTGTGTTAAAGTCATCTACGCTAGGGTTGGCCATGACTAGCTAACAATTTCAATCACTATGGACCCTGTCTAAACTGAATCCTAAGTACTACTGTACATTTTGCTACTTAGCATGTTTTCTAACACTATATGTACTGCCACTGTAGAGAGGCTCTTGGAGAGTGCCTAGATAATCAAGGGTGGAAATATGACATCACTTTCATTCGCCTCTGGCAAAATAACATCCCCTGCCTTTTCTCCAAGGGCAAGTTTTGTATTTGCATTTATATACAAAACAAAAATTACTGTAATTGTTTACATTTCTGTATTGTGATTTACCTCTTCAATCCACAAGTGGGTACAGAAATCTTTTTAACAATTATGGTAGCTGCAAAGGATGGTTTGTATTCTAAACCTCCATTTGAAATACCTGGACTCCTTGGAAGAACAGCTCCAAAATCCAGGAGAGCTGACTGAGCCTGGCATCCTCCTTAGAGTTTCATGACATTTTTCTATGGAGAGTCTCAGATAAGACTTTAAAACACAGGTCCTCTAACCTACGTATGGACACTGAAGATCCCAAGACACAAGTGGAGACTTGCCCCAACATCCTTGGCCAAAATTTCTCCTTCCACACTTCTGTGCAGCAGGGTATGCATATGATTATTCCTACTCTCAATTCCAATGCAGTGAATTAGAGTGGTGTCAAAAGTGTTTTGGTTTGTGAAGGGCTTTGCAATCCTTTTGTATGCTTTAGGTGCTATGTAAACAAAGTAAAATATTACATGTGAAATAAACAATGTTAGTACAACTTCTGAGCATTGACTGCAGCAATAGCTAAAGCCCACATTAGTGTTGAGGTAGCAAGAAAAAAACCTATTTTAAGAGTCTGCATGCATATCAGGAAACTGGGCATTTTTTCCAAAGACAGCAAGGTTTGAACCTGTGTAACTTGGATGATTTTACAGACTGATAGCTTAACACCACAAAGCAATTATTTTTAAAAAATGAGAGTTGCTATTTTTTCTTTGCTGTTTGATCTTCTAGTTACTATCTGACAAGACCATGCCTAAGTTCCCTGGTCTCAAACCTGATTCAGTTTAGCCTAGTTTTCTCCCTGCTCCTGTTGATAGTGAGAAAACAGAACTCCTATACCACCAGTCCAGTAACATCATTTCCATTCCAGTAATGCTCTACTCCCCACCCTGTCAGAATGCTGATCAGAGAGGCACTGTGCAATCAGATCAGCAATCTGGGAGCAGCACACTTTGCACTTCCACATCACCAAAAGGAATGGCAGCTGGCAGAAAAATATTAAACATTGCCATGATGCAAGGGAAATTGAGAGGTCATAGTTTAGGATAGAAGCATGATTCCGAGGGGTAAAAATCTTAGCTAAAATATGGCCAAAATTGGTCTAAGTGTGAATAAGAAATTGTACAATTTTTTGCCAACTTTTTGGATTACTAAAAAGACAAATCTACTAAATCACGTATTTGACACTTTTCCTGGTCTCACCTCTAAACTGGTGTTAGGCAAGCCATACAACACACAACTTTGGGATTAAACCAAGGACAACTCTTGTCAGCAGATCTAGTCCTTTTCATTGGACACCATATAGAATAAGGTAGAATACAATATTAGAATGTCTAATACGGTCTGTAATAGATTTGCTAGAGTAAGAGTAAGGATATGTTTGAAACCATGCTCTGAAGCGGATTTCCAACACACAAAATCGATAAATGGTTTATTTCACAGCTACTACGTTTTAACTAGTATACTGTATGTGTTCAAATCTCACCTATGCAGGGGATAGAATTTAGATTGTTTTCCTTTTAATCATACTATCAGGGAGCAGGAGTCCTGAGACAGGAAAAGGAAATCAGCTCTCTAAGCCTACAGGAGTCTTATGAGTTTTGGGGATTTCAGGACATCTGCAGAAGCCTGGTTGCTTCCCAGCCTCATGGAAGCAGACCAGACAACAGGGTCCTATATTTTGAAATGGACATCCTGGAAGATAAAATCAACTTGGCTTCCTAGCTAAGACGCAAGTTCATTAAATGTGACTGCCACATACACTGAAATGCTTACTTATAGAGTTATATTATTTACGATTTTGGGAAAGAAAGAAGACAGCAGAAGCCACCTTTACTTAAATTATTTATCATTTAGATTTAAGAAATAATCTTCATAAGTCCATACAATAGATATCTATGGTAAATGCTCAGCCAACATAACTGAGCAAAGTTAAAAATGGAAAAAATGTATCTAATGCCTTTCTATGTTTTTTAGTCTTCCTCAGAAAGGACTATTTATTCCTTACCTATATGGCTGTACTTTACTTCCTTCCACTCCAGATTCCAGTGCTTTGTTCACTACTGTTTCATTTTCTTCTGGATAAACTGAACAAGTGCAGTAGACAATGGCTTGCACTTTATTAACTATAAACATGCAACAAAACATTTTTCTCGTTTACCATTTTTGGAATAAGGAAAGCAATTTAAAATTCAAAAATATACAATATTTTAAAACACTTCTATTTCAATTGTTATGAAAATCATTGGAAAGTTATCAAATGAATAGTGAACAACATGCAGAAATAGTCAATGATCAGATCACAGAAGATATTAAATCATCCTTTCCATCTCTCTCCCCCCCCATTCAAGTTAGTACAGTTCTAGTAATCTGTCCAATGTATTTTAAATTTTCAAAGCAACAGAGTTGCCAGCACATTTTCCAGCTATGCCACATTCTAATACATTGCATTTCCAGGAAGTTTTGATTGTTATTAAGATTACATTTTTCCTTTTCAAATGGCATCCTATTACATATAGTAAAACCCACATGTGCCAACCTACATAATTTCTCTCCAGTGCTTTTTTATTTAAATGTATTTCAAATATTTGCAGACTTAGGCACAAATCCAGGCCTGTGTGTGAGCTGTGCTCATGCTGTTAAGAACAGAAGGGTGAAGCGGATATGGGAAAGATCAAAGAGGGAATTACAGTAGAACCTCAGAGTTATGAGCACTTTGGGAATGGAGGTTGTTTGTAACTCTGAAATGTTTGTAACTCTGAACAAAATGTTATGGCTGTTCTTTCAAAAATTTACAACTGAACATTGACTTAATGCAGCTTTTAAACTTTACTATGCAGAAGAAAAATGCTGCTTTTAACCATCTTAATTTAAATAAAACAAGCACAGAAAGAGTTTCCTTACCTTGTCCAAAAAAAAAAACTTTCCCTTTTTTAGTAGTTTACATTTAACACAACACTTTACTGTACAGTATTTGCGTTTTGGGGGGGGGGAACTCTACTGTCTGATTGGTTCCAAATGAGGTGTGTGGTTGACCAGTCCGTTGGTAACTCTAGTGATTGTAACTCTGAAGGTCTACTGTAATCCACTTTTTTACAGCCTTCCCAATCCTGGGGCCATGACTAAGCCTCCAGGTAAGTTCCCAACATAATGACTGTAGCCTCAAAGCTGTTATACTATGGGCTTGCTATCAGCAGCCCCTAAAGGCTATTCTGAGGAACACTACAGCATAGGGATCCCCTGTTCATGCCTCCTGCCATGGAGACCAGAGGGGGTGGCAGTGCACATAGTGCTAGAATGACCCTATGCCACTTTGAGAAATCCCTGGCTGTCTAGGGGAATCTTTGTCAATGGTCATCTTTCTGCTGCTAGATTAGCATAAAGCAGCTGGAGCAGGTACCAGGATTTGGGCCTTAGTTCTTCCTTAGCCACCACACTGGACAAACTGCACATATTTAGTTCTTCTAAGTTGTTCCACATGAATCTGTCTCTCTACACTCTTTGTTTCTCATCTCTGAGCCTCCAATTCATGTTTCTGGGCATTATAGATCCCATGAACTGAAGTCTCTTCCAGGTGCTGTTGCACCAGAGCAACAAACAGAGACAGACATGCAATGTCTCGGCACGTATACCACAAAAACCATGGCTGCTGTATCACACTTCAAATGCATTCTTAATGTGTGGTTAATGATTACTGTTTATTATTTGTACTACCACAGCACCTAGGAGCTCTATGCCCAGGCTACATTTACAGTTTAGGTGGACATAGCTACAGTGCTCAGGAGTGGGGAAAAAAAGCAACACTCCAGAGCACCATTGCTATGCTGACCTAACCCCTGGTGTAAACACAGTTAGATCAATGGAAGAATAATTCCAACGACTTAGCTACCATCACATGGGGAGGTGGTGTTCCTACAGCAAGAGAAAAACTCCTTCCATCCTCATAGGCTGCATCTAAAACTATAGGGTTATGCTGGCATCGTCACGGCCCTGCAGCCATGCTGCTATAATCCCTGTAGCATAGGCCCTAGTCATGGGCATGGACCCATTGTGCTAAGCACAGTATGAATAAAGAACGAAAACGTGGTCCTTGCCCTGAAGTTCATCCCTAGGGTTCTTTCTGCTTCCCGAGATTATCCCTCCAACTAAATAATGTTTTGGATATTTCCAAATCCTTAGGGTCTCAGTGCCCTCTTTACTCTGTGCATGCAGTAATAGCCTGATCCTGCAAACACTTCTACATGTGTGTAACTTTCCTCACGTGACTAGTCTCATTGTACTTGAAAAGTTATTTCCATGCCTAAGTATCTACAGAACTACCACACTACTGTGGGGAAGCAGTAAACTGCTATCCTTCCAAAGTCACCCATGTACAACATATGCTTCTGTTTACCAACTTTTGAGTTTTTAGTTGCTCTTGATTCTTTGGCCCAGATCCTCAAAGGTATTTGAGGCACCTAAGTCACACTGATTTCAATGGGAGTTAGATGCCTAAATACTTCTCAAGACCTGGAGCATTGTCCACAAACTTCATTTTTATTTACTACTTTTGTTATTACAAGTAACATTTTCAAAAGCATTTAAGTCCCACTGAAAGTCAAAAGGGAATTAAGTGTTTTTGACAATTTTACCCTATAATTATATATCACTTTACCACTGCAGCTGGTAACAGGGAAAAGATCCTAATCTTACGGCTGCTTTAGTGGCTTTTATGTTCTTCTCTAACTTCGGTGCACGAAACAGGTAAGGAGGAAGGCTTATATAAATGTTGAGAGAAGGAAACTGAGGTAATAAATTTATTCACCGTAGACTATATGAGGTAGACATTACTTTGAGGACGTGGTACACATTTACTGTTGAAGATTTAAAGTAAGCAATGCCTATTTTTTTTATACGTTGCATCAAATTATGGTCACATTTTCGTAAACTTGAGAGAAAACAGACTTACATCGCATTGCATGCATTAACTCCTGAAGTTGCGTCTCAGCAAGAATATGGAGTTTATTTTCAGCTACAGATCCTTGAGAAAGGTCTCTCAGCAATCCTGCATCTGAATGTAAAGTTATTAAAACAATAGCCAAATTCATTTTTACATTTAAAACTCATGTCCATATTTTATAATCCATTTGTTTTCACTGAAAATTCTCTATTAACAGACCTGATTACTGCTGACATAGTGAAATCAGATCACATGAACTGCAAAGTGCAAGGGTGCCTATATAATTACTTTTTCCCTCCTAGTTATTTGGTTTATATTTAAAACATTTCTCAGTATTTAAAGAAGATTTTGTACAATAAATCCACTTAAATCACTTAAGTCGATAAGGAGATATGGTTAACTGAAAATGAAATGCTTGACAATACCTTAAATCTTGAAACAAGTGTTTTTATTTGTGACATATTTCTTTTGTGAAATAGACAACATACATTGAACGCTCTATTAGAATAATGCTCAACTTCATAAATCTATTTAATTAACTTGAAACTATTCTTAGAGATTTCTAACTGGTCTCCAAATCCTGTAGAGTCATCAAGAGCATTACCACAATGCTCATTTCCTTCTTGGACATCTTGAATTTTCAAATGCAAATCAGAACTAAGCAAAAAATCTTTTCGTTCGTTTGGCTTCTCTGGTTAAATGTCTCTCTCATTATATATCAAGTCCTGCAAAACACTGAGCACACCCTTAACTCCCACTGAAAAGGGATCTTGAGCCACAAAGATTGGCCCTCAACCAAAAAGTCTGAAAAAATAATGAAATTCTTTAATCACGGTTAAGTATCACCACATTTTGTTTTGTCAAAAATGTAGTGACATACACATTGTGAAAAGTAAAAAATTGAAAATAAATTGAAACAAAATCCAAACCCACAGACAAAATTTAGGGTATATTTAAATCTGAAATTGCTCCCTGTCTGAGGTAACCACCTCAGCTAAGTAAACTCAAGGTTGAAGGTTTCATATCCCACAAAATGGTTATTATCGAGCTAACAGAAACAGAAAGCACTCTCTTATACTGAAATGTGTCTACAACCCTTCTAGGCTTCTTTTCTATTCCTCCTCATCCCATAAGCAAGTTTTAACCCTTGCTTCTGCTAGGAGATATTTAATTTCAAATTTTATTAATTTTGACTCCTTAGTTCCCTGTCCCCTTTCAATAAGTATTAGTAATCAATGAGCTAGTAATTCCCCACTGAATGGGGAATATGAAGAACTCTCCCACTGGAAGGAAGAACAGGAGGAGAAAGGATCTTGCTGGTTGTGAAGTGTACATGAGAGAAGACATGGTTTGAAAAATGTCAGCAGCACTTCACACATTATACTAAGTTTTCTAGCCTTTATTTTTGTCACAACCTAAATGTTAAAAGTTAGGTACTTCATGTAATCTGTCAGAATAAAGTCCAGATTTAAATATTAGCTGATTCCATCTGATGAGTAGCATGAAGTACTGCAAAAAACCCAGGTTCTAAACACAGTATTGTTCATTAGGTTTTCCTATATTTCTCATTGCCTTTTTTAAATTAGGATGGGCGTGTAATTAATAGTTTCCTGTTTCATTTAAAAGTTTTTTTTTTCCCCCCTTCTGCTGGTTTGTACTAGGGGAAAAAAATTCAGTGAATAGTAAATTTGCCAACAAATGCATTTTTCGGGACACTGAAACTATTTGCATATTCAAGTCAAATTCGGCAAATAGTTTCTGCCAAAAAATTTTTTCAAAAATATCAGAACATTTTGTTTCGACATTTTCAAATTAAACGTTTTGACATTTCATTTAGAAAATGTAGTTATGAATTGACATTCCAAACGTTCAACCTAAACAAAGTTTATGTTTTGAGTTTCAGTGAGGGAGGAAAAAAATCAGTGTCAGTTTGAAACTAACTTTTTTTTTTGTTTGGCCCTTGAACCAAAAAATCAATTATTCATTCAGCCCTTCTACTGATCTCAAAAGTTGTAAACCTCCTTTTAACAATTGTTTTTAAGCTAGCCAATTTTGATATAATAAACAAAGATGAATTCTCCACTTGATGTCTGTCATAAGTGCAGTACCAGCTGGACTCTTAAGAAAATACATTTCTTTTTCATGTCCATGTCCTCAATAAATAGGGATAAGATTTTGTCAAAGCACAGTCACAGTAAAAGAAATAGGTAATTTTCTGCTATGGTCATAGAATCATAGAAATGTAGGGCTGGAAGGGACCTTGAGATGTCATCAAGTCCAGCCCCCTGAGCTGTGGCAGGACCAAGTAAACCTAGACCATCTCTGACAGGTGTTTGTCCAACTTGTTTTTAAAAGCTTCCTATGATGGGGACCTGACAATCTCTCTTGAAAACCTATTCCAGGGCTTAACTACCTTATACTGTAGTTAGAAAGGTTTTCCTAATATCTAACCTAAATCTCTCTTGATATAGATTAAGCCCATTACTTCTTGTCCTATCTTTAGTGGATGGCAACCTTGTGGACACTGCTGCTGGACAGTCACAGTTCATTAGTTTGTTTTGATCTAGTCCTCTTTGAAACAAAATTAGATCAAAGCAAACAAACTGTTAATCAGTGCTCAAATTATATGGGGACGGGGGGGG